GCCTAAATGGAACGAGGGTTATCTCGTCCTGCCAGTGAGAAATGCGTGGACCTGGATATTAGTAGTTAGGTTGGAATCGGATGATCCGATGCCATGGATTCTCTCTGCGTCAGATTTCTTTCTACAAATATGAATGTACAGGAAAGAAATCATCTAATTTGTTGTCATCCCATCTATCGAGTCAGCAGCAACCACCAACATCCACCAACGGGTTCCCGTAGGTCGTACCTCCAAATTCTCCCTCCCGCAAGGCCCCAAACCGACAGCAGCAGCTTTGGTTTGCCCAGCTCCACTCTTCCTGCCCCCCTCATCAGGTCCTCACCTACAAGGAAAAGCAACCTTTCTCCTACCCATCGATGACCGTTTTGTTCAATCAACTAGCCATAGTGTGCTAGGCTGCGAGCGCTCTCGTGTTCCATGATGAATGATGAATGAGCGGCACCTGCTTTTGTGGGCGTGACTGACAATGGCGTCGCTCCTACTGCTCGAACCCACGCCGAAACTATTCCATTGACCCTACTCCGACACTACGCACTTCTGTCACGAGAAGCTACTGGCAATTTCGTTCCACGCAGTTCGCTACTCATTTGTCTTTGTCAGGCGGGCATTAAAGAAGCGCGATTATTAATCATGTAACTCCAGTAGTAATAAACAGTTAAACACGGATGGTGACGTGCAGGCAGAGAAAGCGAGAGAGTACTCACTTGGATCCACGGTGGTGACCATGCCGGCGCCCTGGAAGTAGCAGGAGCCGGCGGCGTGGCCCTGGGACTGGTAGTAGGCGTCGAACGCGAACGACGCGAGGCTGCGCACGTCGTCGGGCTGGTAGCACGGCTGCCCGGGCTGTATCGCCGTGCAGTCGGCTCGCCCGGGGCCACACGCCCAGTCCATGGCCGCCTGCACCGCCTTCTCGTCCGCGTCGTCGGCGGCCACGCAGAAGGTCCGGTCCGTCGTGTCGTTCCCCAGGAACCCGTCGGCGCCGGACACGTGGAGGAGGTACACCGGGGTGCCGTTCCCGTAGAACAGGCCCCAGTTCGCCTCCGACACGGGGCCCCGGCGGAGGTCCTCGTTGAAGAGCTCGTAGATGTAGGCGCTGGACTGCGCGCCGGCGGCGGGCGCCATTGGCGTGCCGGGCCTGTCCTCCAGCACGTGCTTGATGAGGTTGGAGTTGTACGCGTCCGCGTTGTCCCTGGTCGCGTACGGCTCCGCGCGCCTGTCCCCGTACGACGGCCAGCCCGTCTCCGTCACCAGGATCGGCACGCTCGCGCCGCCCGTGGCGTTCAGGTTCCGGACGGCCACGCGCACCGCGTCCAGCATCGCGTCGAACACGTTGGTGTAGTGGAGCAGCGTGTTGGGGTCCACCATCTCCTGCGACGGCGGCAGCGGCCGGAACAGCGCGTTGTCCACCGGGATCACGCCCTTGCTCTGCATCAGCGAGTAGTACGGGTACAGGTTCAGCATCAGCGGCGCCGAGGTGTTGGCGAGGTGGGCGAGCAGCGGCGCCACGAACGACTTGGCCAGGGACTGGTTGAAGAAGGCCTGCGACGGCGGGAACGGGTCCAGCACCACGGAGAAAGGCAGCGGCGTCGACACCGGGATGGACGACAGGTTGGCGGCAGCGAGCGCGGCGGCCAGGGACTGGATGGCCGGGAGTAGCACGGGCAGCGCCGAGGGGAGGGCGGTCGGCACCTCGTCACCGACGGCGATGGCGGAGATGACGTTCGGGGTGCTGGAGTTGACGCCCGCGAAGGGGAGCACCCGGCGGGAGACCCAGGAGGCGGCCGTCGCCGGGGAGGAGCCCAGCGCCAGGAGCTCGTCGTTGGGGACCCCCACGATGGCGCGCACCCCCGAGGCGGCCAGCGCCGACAGCAGCCGCGGGTCCGCGTCGTAGAGGCGCACGCGGGTGATGCGCTGCGCGCGCAGGAACGACGCCAGGTCCGACGGCGACAGCAGGTTCGTCACCTGCGTGCCGATCGTCACGCCCACGTACGGCTCGCTGGACCCCGCCGCCGACACCACCACCGACGGGCCTGCTGCGGTTGCAACGAGTCAGCGAGAGCCGGCATTTGCAGTCGCCGTTTGCCGACCAAATCTATTAGAGCATGACTGGGAGAGAGAGAGAGAGAGAGAGAGAGAGAGAGAGAGAGCTTACAGTGAAGAGAGAGGAGGTGGAGCAAGAGGAGGAAGGGGAAGAGCAAGCGGCTGCCACTCCCTCCTCTGCTCCTGCTCCCCATTGGGATTGGGGAGTGTGCCCTGCTGTTGCTCCTGCTCGTGCCGGCCTCCGGGATTGCCTCTTTTGACGAAGACTGCTGCTTTCGATGCGCACTTGCTCGCTTTCTCCAGGAATCTCCTTCCCTCCCGGCTCCCGGCTCCCTCGGGCCTCGATTTCTGTGGCGTTGGCGTGGGAGCGTGCGTGCTTGCCGCTTGGTGCTGGATGGAGAGCTGGTCCAGGAGGGGAGGGTGGAGTCCGCGAGGTTGGTGCGGTGTCGGGGCGAAAGATGCGTTGGGACTGGGGGATTTCCGGGGACCGGTTGGGAGCGGGTGAATTGCTGGATCTAGAATGGTTGCTGGTGTATTCTGGGGTTCATTCGGTGATTAGTGTCGACTCGTCACTCATCAGTCATCGCTGCTATTCGGTGGGGGCAAAGGGGCGCGCGAGGAAGCAGTGGTGCCAGAGAGTGAGCCACCTGGACAGTGGGCCCTGAAACCTGCACAAGTCATGTCAAGGATGCATGATTTACGCAGTGGGATACTGGAGTTCTTGGCCAGCTTGCTCGGCCGCCTTGTTTTTCCAAGGCAATTTTACCGCAGTAGTAACGATCCAACAAAGTTTACGCAATAATTTGTGCCCGTTGAACTTAAACCACGGTTTTCTTTCACATGAATTTCATTGAAGGAAAAACTAGGATGAAGAAATATAGATAAATTGTATACCTTTTTCCAAGTAAAAATATTGCATTCAATTCCATAGTAGCCATACAGATAATGAGTACTACTATATAAAATCCGATCCAAATTATAATTTGTTTGATTTTTTTTTACCCTAAGTTTGACCACTCGTCTTATTCAAAAATTTATGCTAAATATCACTTCTTTTGTTGTGACTTGCTTTATTAATAAAAGTTCTTCAAGGATGATTTAAATTTGACTATATTTGAACAAAGTTTTTTGAATAAGACAAGCGATCAAACTTGAGAAAGAAAAAAAATCAAACGAATTATAATTTGGAGCGAAGGGATTTTCACTTTGGCTTTTGACAACCAGTGATTGTTTTTAAAGCTTATTGTCATACCTCCTGTGTTGCTTTCATTTCTCAGGAAATTATCCTTCCCTCGAACCTCAATCCTCATGTAGTCATATTCATCTAGCTATCGCTCTAAATCCTCCCTTTGCCTCTGATTACTGTGACTTTTCACCATTTCGGCCTTCTTCAACTCTCTTTCTCTACAATGCAACCAAAATTGAACTCCAACGCGACCCTCCTAGGTCCTCTCCCTCTCCCTCTCCCTCTCCCGTTTTTGGCAATCTAACTGGACATTGTAGGGAGTAGGGATCCATCTCCGTAGTGGTAGTGCTAGTAAATCAAGTCCTAACCTCATGTCAGATTTTTTTTTGGTCGTCTTTAGTTGATATACTATTTTCTCCATCATCTTACCTTTTTGGCAATCTAACTGGAGATTCCAAGGGAGTAGGGATCCATCTCCATAGTGGTAGTGTATAAATCAAGTTTGAACCTCATTCAGGTTATTTTTTTTGGTCGTCTTTAGTTGATATACTATTTTCTCCATCATCTTACCTCTTTCTACTTTCCAACCACCCACACACTTCCTCACTCAATATATCAGTATATATAAAGTTTGAATAATTAAGGTTATAAACTTTGGCCTTTCTAAATGGCACGATTATGCCACTTCAATAGCACGTCCACTTTGGGAACTCGAAACGCCCAGGGACCCGAAATTTAACAAACACAATCCCCATGCGGCAGCGATAAATGACATGCTAGTTTCCCTCAACAAGACAGTAGCCTAGATTTGCTGTCCCTGAAGTATTTAAAGGACAAGGTAGCCTAGCATTGAGTTAGGATGAAGGCATGAGTGAAGCAGACAAATGTCCAAGTTGCTTACTGGGGCCAAGGCGCCAAGCATTTGGAGATTTGGTCGTCAGTAAAGTAAACCATATTACAGTAGGTAAAACGACTGAAAATATTCGTGTAGGTTAAAAAAAATGGACGACAGTATCAAGGTAACTGAATAATGTTTGAAAAGCAAGATATTTATCTGAGGCAGCCCTTTCAAATAAAGTTCAGCCTGCAGTCCAACATTTCAGCTCAGAATAGACTGGCCTGGTTCAGCAAGCTATAAACTATGACAATGCAACGGTGACCTCTGACCAAATCATGTTCCAATGCCCTGTAGTCATTTTGTGTGGTGTGCAACACAACTTGTGTTATCAGACTGTAACACAAAAAACCCTACAACCACAGATCCAGGCGAAAGAAAACCATTGGGACCCAACATTGCCAACTGTGCTTCTAAATAGGTAGCACGCATGATTTTTTTTCCATATCATAACTGGAACAGTATCTACTTCTAAGTTCTAAACTGAACTGTTAGCAGCGCTATTTCATATACAGAAAATCTTCTAGAATCCAGAGGCAGGACTTCCCCCAGCAACATCACTACAGCAGGCACCAGGAGACCAGCAATGAGCCAATGACAGAGATGCAACTGTGACTGTGTGTGCCCTCATCTATCCCCTGCCATTTGCTACATGGGGAAAACTTTGCCATATGTGGGCCTGCAACAGATCTCAAAACTATGAAATGAGTACTTGCAGCAGGCAATGTGCAAAGTCAGGATTCCTGGGACAGAAACCATAGCTGAGAACTGCAGAAAAGAAAAACATACCTAGAACATTTTGGTAGAGATTTGCTGCACAACCATCTCACTGGGAAAATGGATGACTCACTTCTGACAAGAATCAGGCAGGAGACTAACTCAAACTTTCGTCAATATTTCTGCACCATTCCTAGTGACCAGTATGGTATGCTCAAACTGAGCTGCCCAGCTACCATCAGCAGTGACAGTCGTCCATCCATCTTCCCATGTAACACACTCTGTTTTCTCCATTGTAAGTATAGGTTCTGCAGAATTCCATCAAGATATTTCAACTTCATATGAAATATTTTTACAAGTGTAGGACTTCATGTCTACATGATATGCAAGAGCTTGTACAATTACTTCCAAGACCCATTATGACATTTTATACACTCATGGTATTATCTTTGTGCCAAGTTTTTTTCCCCACAAACATGTTCAAGCAAGGGCAACCACTAGGAAATCTCCAGCACAGACTATTCTGAAGGGCATTAACCAATTAACTAAAAATGGAAGTCCAAACATACAATTAAGGACAATGGATAGCACATACCAATTGTAAATGTTTGGCCCTCAACCATACGCCCTGAGTTTTCGTTGGCTACAAAACCAAGAATTCATTAGTCTCATGTAAATTCATGCATTGTTTCAACAGGACATTGGAGCTACTAACCGCTGTCTTAAGATGGATAGGAAATATCAAATCAGTAACAATCCTTGGAAACAATATAAAGCAAATCTAATGTCCCCCACCCCAAAAAAAAAAACACTAGGGGGAGAGACGTCCCCCTGATTTTGTTCTCAAGAAGTTTATGTTTTCCTAACTAAAAATGTGATTTCTAAAGATTTTGTTGTAATTCTTCGAATTCTCGAACAAATCCAATCCAATAGAATATTTTTTTTTGAAATTCGTAAATTAAGTAATAAAACATAGAGAAAGGATTAAAGAATACAATCCTTATCCATCTTTTCTTTCTTTTTGCTTCATCATATACTAAAAAATAATTCAAAAAGGGAAATTTTCGTCAGCTTTCAAACCTGGACTGGTGATGGGGGTTTCATTGATCCCTGGACTTCAGCGGCCTAACCAGTGTAAATCAAGATAAATTGGCATCTAATGACAGCTTAGACAGTTTTGCAAGGAAAAAAACGTTTCCATCTTGCCAGTGATAATTTAAGCTTGCATGTAGCTAAAATGCTTAGTACTACATATTGTCAGTCTAAACAAGCAAATGTGCCTAACAAGCAATGGAATTGAAAATTTAGGACATCTAAGCAGGAAACCAGTAAATCTAGCAATACGATAAGCCACACTCCATGAATTATTATTATATAATGAAACAAAATGCCAATACTAAAGTAGGTTTAAATGTCAACAATGGTACCCACCATGATGTAGGATAAGTGGCTCAGAATGATACATAGTTCCAATCCCATGCCCAACAAAGCGTTCCACCACATAGTAGCCATAAAAATAGGCAAGCTTGCTGAAATAGCAAAAGGCAGAAAAAAATGAATGTGGGATTAGATGCATATTTTTTCATCATAGAACCAAAATCAGCCACAGGTTATGCAAAGCTATATCAATGAAGTCAGATGTCTATATATTTTGGGGCTTAAGCATTTCTACCCCTGTTTTGAAGCGCATTTGTGATTTTGCCCTCGTTTTTTTAACTTTGTGATTTTACCCCTGCTATTTTTAAACGAATGAAGACTTTACCCCTGGTATGTGAAATCCCTCTAACGGTGTTAACTTTTGGACAAAAGGACAACTTTGCCCATGCGTTTTTACTCCTGTTTTATTATGTTATGTGTGTTTTTACCCCTATTTTCAGAGAGCAAGTTGACATTTTTTATAAGAATTTTTGAAAAAATCGACAGCATTTCAGCTGACAATCCACGTAAACACGATTTAATATCACACTAGTACAACCAGATCCATGTAACATGTCATCATAGTACCATAATAGAAGCCAACACACAGGTCCAAATGACATGTCGAACACTAACATCCCAGAGATTGCTAAATGTCTAGCAACAAGTTTCAACTCACTGTGATTTAGCCTACAAATCACAGCAGGTCCATATGTGATTCATTAAATCATTATAGGTACTTGTCGATCTTTTTGCTTGCACTTTATTCAATTTAACCTGAGGTAAACAACTTGAATCAAGTGTAAGAAAACTACTTTGGTTCTCTAAACTTTATGATAAAAAAGCAAAGAACCTTATTTTCTTGCCAATCTTTCTGTAGTTCACACCATCCCTGCAGACAGAAATGCCTTTCTCCAAGCATTCTTCAGCTGCCTGATACAGAAAAAAAAATTAAATATCATTTGTGCATGTTCTGATGTAGGAAAGAATCATCTGGTCAATAAAACACAAACTACAAAGAGAACCAATGATATAACACAGATGGAAAGCCTTTCTGGGCCATTTAGCCCCAAGAGATTTTTAAACTGGAACTGACATTACAAATGTTCGTGAAAATCAGACATACACACAGCACAAAAACATGGCAAAATATGCATCATGCAAATCAGAGCAGCTATTGATTACTGAATGAACCACACAGCAATAATGGCTTACATTGAGAAAATGCTTGATAGAATCATCCACCTGTCCACATGCAAATGTTCTGGAGGTACCCCCATGGTATCCCTGTTGAGGAACATACCAAACTAGTTACAAACGGGAAACATCATCCAATTTGATTTTGCCACAATTTAGGAAAGGTTTCTTACATTCAGGAACACATTTACATCAATATTTATAATATCCCCATTCTGCAGCAGAAAGACTTTGTTAGCCCATGGTACTTAGGTACTACGCTGATTAGAGATGAGGAGAGGCAAATTTCATTATACATAACCTGCAGCTGAGTTGAATCAGGTATCCCGTGACAGACACACTCATTTACTGATGTACATATACTTTTAGGAAATCCACGATAGCCAAGTGGAGAAGGATAAGCACCAGCCTCAATGATCATATTATGAACTGCTGTGTCAATTTCATTTGTAGTAATGGATGGCTAGGATGAGATTGAAACAAATACTGCATTATTAAATTTTTGAAAGCTAAGAATTGAGTTAGAGAACAGAAAGAATTTAGTCATCTGCAAATGAATATGCTTACCTTAACTAAAGTCCCAGCAAAGTCAAGAACACGGGCAGCAAGTTTGCAAGCAGCTCTCATTCCAGTAATCCCTTGAGCATCATGTAATTGGCCCTTGCATAGTTCTGGCAATCCTTTTGAACCAACATAAGATGGTCTTGGAATGTGCCCTGGTACAGGAAGTTGTGGGGAGACCTTTCCACGCCTCAAAGGTGGCCTTTTCTTTGATTTTACTGAACTTTGCTCTTGTGACCTTCAAATGTGGAAGTGTGTTGGTCTGTTAGCAGAATCATCAAATATGACACATGGTGAAAGTTGGTTCTTGGTGTATTAGTTTTTTGGCGGAGAATTTGGTATTAGTTTAATGTAGATAGCCCACAAACTACAAGATTATCATAAGAAGATGCATATGAACAAGTAGATAGTCAAATATTACAGGAAATCCAGGATCCAGTGTCTTGACTAAGGACTCTGGATACTGCTAAATATCTTGACCAAGGACTCTAGATACAAAGGAACTGCCAAGAGCTTAAAGGAGCTCTCTGAGCCCTCCTATGTTTGTCAGTGCTTGTGGTGTTGTTGTATGTGTTGTGCAACTATCAAAGCCAGACAAAACACCACCCGAACTGGTTCAAAGTAGTTTCCAACTTCCAAGGCAGTTTTTTTTTTTCGAGAAAACAATAAAAATCTTGTTTAAACTTCAAAAATTCATAACTGTGAGAAAATATGAAACTAGTACCATTTTTTCCTAAAAATGTTATCTATCTTTGGTGATCTACTTAGAGTTATTTGGAACTTATTTATTTATGTTCCTATTGTTTTAATGCTTGTAGTCACACTTGTTATTTATTTAAATTATCGATTTGTGCTCTACTTTATGTTGATCACATGACTAGTTGATTGCATGATGTTTGAGGAACTGTCTTGTTTGAATCTAGGCACTGCCTTGTTTCAAATCTATAACCTAATCAGGCAATCAACATAAAGTAAAGTGCTAGCCATGCAATGTCTAAATAGGATCTATACATGTGGTGGAGCATGGCATCTATGATGTTGGTATCATCTTCCACATCTTTCTATGAACTCATAGTTTGCCAGACCCCCTTGGTCGATCTAGGTCTGATATAGTGCAAAACATTAATTTAAACAAATAATGAGCACCACTATGAGCAATAAAACAATAGGAACAGAAATAAATCAATTCTAAATAACTATAAATAGATCACCAGCGGATAGACAACGATTTAAAAAATGGTTCTAATTTCATTTTTTTAAAATTTAAAATAAATTAGTTATGAATATTTAGAGACTAAACTAGATTTTTATATTTTTAAAATAGAAAACTCCCTTGGAAACCACTTTACACAGGTTCGGGTAGTGTTCCATCCCGACCAGTTTTGACAGTTGTAGGATGTCCGGTACTGGTTTTCATAGTTCAGGGTTGAAAATCAAATTGCCGTGCAAGTTTGACGTTGGAAAAAAAAAACTTTACCCTAGAAAAAAAGGGGCTTAAAACCAGCATAGGAGTAGCAGAAAAGCATACTTTCTTATCTCCATAAGCTCATCTTCCACCCATGTGAGCCTACTTGACACAGTGAAGCATCGCTTTGGCACTATGAATTTGCCTGCAACAATGCAAACTGGGAGAATCAGTTAGACACAGTTGTAGCAAAATGACCTTAGTAGTAACCTACACACAAAAATGTCCTCGCTGATAATGACATTAGGAACTCCAACTTCACAACCATCTAGAGCAGTACGATCCATCCAAAGCCACCGGATGGTTCCATAATTACACCTTGAGACAGCAAGGGGAAAGCAAACTAGATATTTGCATGTGCAGAAACAGATATGGAGATGAGTGTATGGCTTACTAGAAGCGTCTGATTACCATGTAGGGTGTTAAGGACAAGTGGCAATAAAAATCATTTAAATGGCACGAAGACACGTGAGTCTGCTTCCTATGCAGCATGGCATAAAGCTAATTTTCAATCTGAGTCCTGACATATAAGGGAGGCATATAACCAACCCAAGCAAGTATCTCCTTTGTACAGAATGACGAATTTAGGTTGACACAAAACTCAACTATTACTGCCACAAAAGGCAAATAGGTGGCAGTGAGATAAATTAGTGAACTCTCGTGACAATTCACCCCAATTTTCAGATGAAAACGGATAAAGCCAACATTTCGTTCCTCAGGCAACGACAAAACCTAGGATAGTACTGTAGAACATAGAAGTATTCTATTCGTTCTAAAAAAAAAAAACATAGAAGCATTCTACAGCACCTAAAATTCGTACGAAGCATGTGCCGCGCAACGTGACATGGTTCTCTGAATCCTAGCACATGATCTCGTATGAATGTCCACCGTTGGGAAGAACACTGACATGCGAGCCGGCAACGAAGCGAGCAGAAAAATGAGGGGGAAGAGTGCGTATCCGTACCGGAGCGTACGGGGCGGAGAGGGGCAGCGAGAGGCTGGAACCTCCCGGCCTCGAGGGCGGCGGCAGCGCCGAGCCCAGCCATGGAGGGATACAGGTGTGAGCGAGGAACGGAGGGCAGAGAGGTGTTGAGGTTTAGTCGAGAAGAGAAGACGAGGCGAAAGGAAGGGGATAAGCCCACAAGCCCACGCGCGACCCGTCCTCATCCTACAAACGTTTCACGCTCATTTCTCCAATCTCAAAGCACTCTCCTCGTTGACTAGTTTGCTTTCTTTTCTTTTCTTTTTTGAGAAAATCCTCGTTGGCTAGTGACCACCAACCCGCATCGCGGCGGCGATATTTTCAGGCCTTGTTTAGATTACCTCTAAAGTTTTTCACTCTTTCTTCATCACATTAATTTTTAGACTTATGTATGGAGCATTAAATGTAGATAAAAAAATAACTAATTATACAGTTTGGTTGTAAATCACGAGACGAATCTTTTGAACCTAGTTAGTCCATGATCGGACAAAGTTTATTAAATATAAACGAAACGTGCTACAATATCCAGATTACGAAAATTTGCAATCTAAATCAGGCCTCAGTTCGATTGACTGGCCTAACCCAATGGGCTGGAGTGCGCTGATTGGATTGGCGTGTGTTTGACTGTTTCTGAAAATCTCATCGTTGCATTCCCTCATGACAATATCTTCCTTTGCATAATAATGGGGCTCATTCGTGTTGCTCAAAAAAATAAAATAATGGGGCTCATTCGAGTGTTTCAGTACCATCATCACTCAGAACTTTGTCCCTCGTTGCATCAGCAAGACACAAACAACATGTTTGGTTCACAGAACGAGTCAATCCAGAATCATCCGAACCTAGAACCGAAGCTAACAATACCGATGGGTTTGCATCGTGGAATCACACTGTTCGTCGTTAAGTGCTTTCACGGAGAGTTAATTCTGAGCATTCGTAACGATAAGTCATTCCATAAAAAGTGTTGGACCAACTTATTCTACGATGAATTCATTCGTCAAACCAAGCAAACTGAAACATAATAGCTTTCTTTGTTTTCTTCTTCATTTGTTCAACCCATTCTTGTTATGATCTCCATCTTCAACAATGACTACAATCAGAACATGACATGCTCACGCACCCTATCCCGCCCTCCTTTTTCTTGTCCCATACGCCTAGAAACCATTTAATGACATGCGCGTGTTGATCTGGATAGCAATTCATGTGATTTCTTCTCCTTCCTCTAGTCGTATTATTCTTCTTCCTTAAATATATATCCCTTCTTTCCCAACTACTTCGCCACTGCCAGCCTCTACCACCACCCAAGGCGACAACATCCCCGCCGCCCACCTCCCACCGCCACCGCCGCATCCCCTCCATTCTCTATGTCCATCCCTTCTTTTTTTCTCTTCAACTTCTCAACATGTTGCCCCATCGTCGCAACCTAGACCGTTGGCAACTAGGGACCACACCGCCTACATCTTACCACCACTGCCGCAGCCCCTACCTTCCATAACATTGTGGTCAATTGCTCCTGCCGTCTACCTTGCCCACTGGATGTCCAACAGTACCTGCTTGACAACACCCCTATCGCTTCGCTCACCGCCATTCGAACCGCCTCCACTTCTTGTTAAGGTACTCGCTCCGTCCTAAAATATAAGTGATTTTGAGTTGCCTTAAATTAATCTATCTTAAGTTTGATCAAGTTCACAAAAAAGAACAATGCAATTTATAGCACAAATTAGCATTATTAGACACATCATAACATACTATTTCATAATTTACTTTTTTATATGATATATGTTAATCTATAATTTTCGGCAAGCTTATGATAGTTTGCCTTAGGATAACTCAGAATACTCTATTATACTTCATGATGAAGAGAATAGTAAAAAAACAATTACAACTAGGATGGATATGGGCTACCACCTTTAAATTTCCATTCACAATTCCCAAAATATATCTCAATAACAAATTTTCCAATCTAGAATACTTATGCCAATTCCCATGAATGAATGATTATGTGTCTTTCTTGATTTTGATATAATTGTAAAATTACATAATGAAGAGGACCAAGACATTGTACAATTGTCTCCATTATCTCAAACTAGAGCAACCGGTATGATGCATTCATACCCTTTTGTCCATTACATTCATACCATTTTTGTCCATTAATCAATTGTATTTTGTAGATTGCATTTGCATCTCCCAAATTTTCAAATGCCTAACTTGTATGTGTAGATCAGGTTCACGTGATTATTGTTGATGAAGATATGACAGGCTAGGATAGACCAAATAGTTTTTCCTTACCAATTTCATGCTTTCATGAATATATTGTGAATCTAAGCGTGCGATCGAAATATCATTTAGAATTTTGCTTTTATATGCTAGCTTTGTTATCTATCAATATTTGATCTGCATGGATGTTTTACACTCTTAAATAGTAGCTCTAGGCATGAAAATTGAAGAGCTCCCCGCCCTGATTACAGCTAACAAAAAAAGGAACGGTCGTCCCACTCCCCCACATGCTGACCTGCCTCTCTGCGGCTCTGCAAGCTACTAGTAGTTTTTTTTAAGAGAAACACCATCCACAGTGCCGAGATGCTGCTGCCAAGGTCCACACGACAGCGGAGAAAAGGATCTGAGAATCTAGTCACGTGTTGTGTGGTGTCCACGCTCATACACTCCCGGTCCTTTTCGCTCGCCGAGAAATAACTTTAACTACATATATATTAAAAAATATTAATATTTATGGTACATAATTAGTATTATTGAAAATATTTTTGAATTTAGTTTTTTAATAAATTTATTAAGAGATACAAATGTTGTACGTATTTTTTACAAATCAAGTTAAATTTATGACACACACATCAACGACGATACTTATTTAGAAATGGAGGAAGTATACCGGATGAATGATTGGTTTATACAAACCTTAGGTAACAACCACCCAAAATAGGACCAATCCAAACAGATGTCAGACGGATGAATGATTGGTTTATACAAACCTTAGGTAACAACCACCCAAAATAGGACCAATCCAAACAGATGTCAGACAAATGACATGGACAAGGCAGGTTAAACGGCTGATCTATGTATTAATAAAGGAGTAAACAAGTATATACAAATAAAAAAACAAAACTCTTCGCACCAACACCACCGAGAACCAACACACGACGATAGCAAAGACAGACCACCACAAACAAAGCTGCCCACGGAACCACAAACCACCCAGCCCAATGAGTAGCAACTACCAGATGATTTCAAAAGCGATGCCTCCATGGAGGAAAACGACATCCACAAATGTCGTCAACGCCAGCCAAAATATTGGCACTGGTTATACGACCAGGAAAAAAACCAAGGTAGAGGCAGGAAAGGATGAGGGCACATGACAATGCCTCCAACGTGGTATATTGTAACACATCTGGTGTTACGAGCTCATTAGCGCCTAGATTTAGGCTTAAGAAAATTTTCCAAAGCGAGTTTTCTCGGATTTTTTATTAAAAACGTACTTGAGGCGATAAGCGAATCCTTTGGGGCTTAGTTCTTGACTCAAATAAACGCTCAAGTTAAATTACGCAGTGCGTAGAAATATTTAGGAATATCGAACGACGCGCACAGCGACGACCGACCATAGCAACAGTATCGCACACGCTACACGTTAATATCACTCACAAGCTTAGCCCGCTGAGCACTCCGCTTGCTCGCTGCTCAGTTGCTTTGCAAATGAAGGGCAGGCGTATTTTTCCACACGGCAGCACTGTAGCGACGAAGAAACACTGTTCACGTGAAAACGCGGTTCAGCGTAGAAACCACTGTTCGCAAGCTCGGTCCAGCTGGGCGTCATTGCTCCAAACTAAATCAAAACTGTTTAATTGCTTTGGATTTGGATAGATAATATATTACGACATGGTCTTTAAGCGAGCTAATAATTTTAATATGGCTATAGTTCTTACTGTTGTACCTTCTGCTTCTATATGTACCAATCAGTGTACAGTAGCAAATAAAACAAACAAACAGCTATGGTCTCAACGTATGTATGTAGACCAAATCGAAGAGCAGCTATAATATATATATATATATATATATATATATATATATATTTTTTTTTTTTGATACTAAGCTAGCTAGCTAGCTATCTGGAAAACGAACACAGCCCTTAACTAAGCTAGCTATGCGAATTGACTGTGACTGTGGAAAGCTGAAATATAATGTTAGCTTGCAATAATTGGGCAGCATTTAATATTAACCGTGTCCTTTAGGCGGGATATTTTTTTTTCTGTGTGGACCAAAAGCAGAGCATGAGCAGCACTACCGTCCACCGGTCTTCACTTGGCATGAAGTAATGCACATCAGCACTTGCGCAGGACCAGCTGCGCCGTGCCGCGTGCGACGAGTAAGTCAAACCCACTCTGCCAGGCACACCACCGCACACGGCATGGAGACACCTAGCTCGTCGTGACTACTCACCAGTGCTATATATGGTTCTGCTCTGCTCTGCGCAGGGTAAGCAATTGCTAAGCTCTCTGGTGTCTCTTCTCTTGCATTGCCTCCGCACATCGATCACCGTAGGTGACACTTCGTTCAATTCCGAGGTAGCTTGCCAGCAAGAATTTCTTCATTCTCTTTCTCCATTATTTCCTTGACCCGTGGTCTCATCCATTATTTCTAGACCCACAGCCATGTGCAAGTCAACAAGTCCAATAGCATGATTAGCCTCCTCCGATAATATCATTTTTTTCATCTCTAGAGCTCATTTGAATTTATTTATTTATGGTGAAATAAATTTTGTTAAATTCCTAAATTCATGATCTATCTGTTAGTGTAATTAGTTCGTATGGTTCTGTAATGTTTTAGGGTTACTTATTAATTATGGGTTGCTTGTTAGTATTATGGTTATTTAGAGAATGAAAATTTTTGTGATGCATTGGTAGAAGTGCTAGCCCTAAAATTCTTTTACAGTAGGTTCATTGTATTATTATGTGCTCATTGTAATTTTTGTGGCCTTAGAATAGGTTGATAAATATGGTAGCTAGTGCACCTTGTTTTATCATATATATAGTAAATTGATATTAACAATAAGGATGC